GCATGCCACCTAACCCGGCTAATTTCTGTATTTTTAGTAGAGACGGGGTTTCGCCATGTTGGTCAAACTGATCTCGAATTCCTGACCTTGTGATCGCCCACCTCTGCCTCCCAAAGTGCTGGGATTACAGGCGTGAGCCACCGCGCCCGGCCCCGGAACATTATATACATGCTATTTTATACAATTGTTTCAGTTAAGAGAAAGAGAAAAATATGCATTCAGACTCTTTTCTTTTTTTGAGACGGAGTCTCGATCTGTCACCCAGGCTGGAGTACACTGGCATGGTCTTGTCTCACTGGAACCTCTGCCTCCCAGGTTCAAGCGATTCTCCTGAGTAACTGGGACTACAGGCGCACGCTACCACGCCCAGCTAATCTTTTGTATTTTTCAGTAGGGACGGGGTTTCACGGTGTTAATGAGGATGGTCTGGATCTCCTGACCTCGTGATCTGCCTTCCTGGCCTCCCAAAGTGCTGGGATTACAGGCGCATGCCACCTTGCCTGGCTAATTTTTGTATTTTTAGTAGAGATGGGGTTTCACCATGTTGGTCAAACTAGGCTCTAATTCTTGACTTATATAATTAGGCGTGAGCCACCGTGCCCACCCTATCAATCTATTTTCAAATTCACTAATTCTTTCTTTACTCGGTTCAAATCTATTATTGAGTCCTTCTAGTGAATTTTTTTTTTTTTTTTTTTTTTGGGGCGGGACAGAGTCTCGCTCTGTCGCCAGGCTGGAATGCAGTGGCGCAATCTCGGCTCACTAAAACCTCCGCCTCGCGGGTTCAAGCGATTCTTCCGCCTCAGCCTCCTGAGTAGCTGGGACTACAGGCACGTGCCACCACACCCGGCTAATTTTTGTATTTTGAGTAGACACGGGGTTTCACCATATTGGCCAGGATGGTCTCAATCTCTTGACCTTGTGATCTGCCCGCCTCGGCCTCCCCAAGTGCTGGGATTACAGGCGTGAGCCACCGCGCCCGGCCCTCTAGTGAATTTTAAAATTTGTTATTGTACTTTCAACTCCAGAATTTTCATTTGATTCATTTTTTATAATTCCTATATCTTTATTGATATTCTTTATTTTTTATTTTTGAGACGGAGTTTCGCTGTTGTTACCCAGGCTGGAGTGCAATGACACGATCTTGGCTCACCGCAACCTCCGCCTCCTGAGTTCAAGCAATTCTCCTGCCTCAGCCTCCTGAGTAGCTGGGACTACAGGCGCGCACCACCATGCCCAGCTAATTTTTGTATTTTTAGTAGAGACCGGGTTTCACCTTGTTGACCAGGATGGTCTCAATCTCTTGACCTCATGATCCACCCACCTCGGCCTTCCAAAGTGGTGGGATTATAGGCATGAGCCACCAGGCCCGGCCAATATTCTTTAATTGATTCAACAATATTATACCTTCCTTTACTTCTTTGTCATCATACTTTCCTTTAATACCTGTGAATATATACATATATAATGGCTAGTTTGAAATCTTTTTTGATTAAATCTGGTCCCTTGTCTCACAGGCAATTTCTGTTGCCAGCTTTTTCCCAGTGTATGTGTTATATTTTCCTGTTTCTTTGTATGTCTCACAATTTTTTGTTGGAAACTGGACATTTTAGATAATATACTGTAGCAAGTCTGGGGACTGGTACCCTTCTCCAGGGCTAATTGTTATTTATTTGTTTAGTGCCTGGCTGGATTATTTGAGTGAAATCTATTTCCCCTGAAGAGTGTTAAGGCCTATGATATCACTCCTCAGGGAGGTGCAACTTTGGGTATGCCCATACTCACCCTGGGATGACAGCGGTTTTGGTAGGGTTCTCTTCTTTTCTCTCCTTGACCACACCCAGCTATGAAGTTCCACTAATTGTGGCTTATTGTTCTATTATTTTCAACAATGCACTGAAGCATAACTTGCTCTTGCTCTATAAACCTATACAATCAAACTGTGGCTGTTTGGAGGAAAGTGTTTTTTTCTACCTCTGCCACATACTTTACTTTTCAAATTGTTTTTTATTGATTCATATTAGTTGTACATATGTTGGGGGCACCCGTGGTATTTTGATGCATGAATATGCAATGTATAATGATGGAACCAGAGCAGGTGGGACATCTGTCACCTTAGAGGTCTGTGGTCAGTGTTTTGTTTTTTTTTTTGTGACAGGACAGAGTTTCACTCTGTCACCCAGGCTGGAGTACAGTGGCATCATCTCAGCTCACTGTAACTTCCACCTCCCGGGTTCACATGCCTGCCTCAGCCTCAGAAGTAGCTAGGATTACAGGCATACGCCACCATGCCCAACTAGTTTTTGTATTTCTAGTAGAGACGGGGTTTCACCATGTTGGCCAGGCTGGTCTCAAACTCCTGACCTCACATGATCTGCCAGTCTTGGATTCCCCAAAGTGCTGGGATTACAGGCTTGAGCCACCACGCCTGGCCTGTGGTCAATATTTGATCCTTCTGATCTTGCAAGGGCTTCTCCCAGCTGTCTTATTTCCCAGTTCTTCCCAGCAAACCAGGAGCCCTGCAGTCTAGGCTGCATCTCTAAGACTACAGATCTCCCAATTGCCTCTTACCAAAACCTTCCCATCTCCAGATTGCCCTTAGGCATGAATTTCTCCACACTGTGTTGCAAATGAAGTCACTTCCATTCGAAAGAGATTAGAAGCTATCTGTTTTAAGGCCTGCTTCTCTCCTCAGGCAAAATCTGGGAGCCAAGGCTCTGGAGCTGAGTGGAAGGACTGTGGAAAGCTTCTCTCTGAGAGATACACTCACTCTGGGAACTGAGCACCTGGTGGAAGGAGGCAGGGGACTGCAATAACCTGAGGTCTCCGCTGGGAGTGGTGGCTCATGCCTGTAATCCCAGCACTTTGGGAGGCTGAGGTGGACGGATCACCTGAGGTCAGGAGTTCGAGACTAACCTGGCCAACATGGTGAAACCCTATCTCTACTAAAAATACAAAAATTAGCCAGGCATGGTGGCACGCGCCTATAATCCTCACTACTACTACTCGGGAAGCTCAGGAAGTAGAGATTGCAGTGAGCCAAGATCATGCCATTGCCCTCCAGCCTGACCAACAGAGCGAGATTCTGTCTCAAAAAATAAATATATAAATAAATAACCTGAGGTCTTAGCTTGCCAGAACTAGGGCATGAGCAACTGGGGCCCCAGTAATTTCAGTGTGCCATGCCCAAGGTCAGTCCTGTTCCACAAGTAGGGACTAGGTGGAAGAAGGGAGCTCCAACTTTCAGTCGCACTCACTCAGGTTTTAACCTCAGCAACAAGTAGCTCTGGATAGGATGAGAAATGCTGATATCCTGCTTTTCCTGAGAAGAAAGCATCTGATTGGGAACTGAGTGAGCCGTGCCCTGTGTTAGTTTGCAGCGGACTGGAGTAGAAGCTCTGCTCACTAAGCTAGGAGTGGGTGAGGAGGGATGATCTTAGTTCATACCATAGCCTCTCATCTTTCTTAATGAATTTGTAGATTTTTTAAAATAGATGTTTCTTCATTTGTTGTTTGCCCTCAGGACCATTGCCAGAGGGTTTAAATAATTGATTTTTAAAAAGAATTTTTGGGTCAGACCTGGTGGCTCCCGTCTGTAATCCCACCACTTTGGGAGGCCAGGGTAGGTAGATGGCTTCAGCACAGGAGTTCAAGATCAGCCTGGGCAACATGGCAAAACTCTCTCTACAAAAAAAAACACAAAAATTAGCTAGATGAGGCTGGATGTGTTGGCTCACGCCCATAATCCCATCACTTTAGAAGGCCCTGTTGGGCAGATCACGAGGTCAGGAGTTCGAGACCAGCTTGGCCTACATAGCGAAACCCCATCTCTACTAAAAATACAAAAATTAGCCCAGAGTGGTGGCACACACCTGTAATCCCAGCTACTCGGGAGGCTGAGGCAGGAGAATCGCTTGAACCTGGGAGGTGGAGGTTGAGATCGCACCATTGCACTCCAGACTGGGTGACAGGGCAAAACTCCCTCTCGGGGAAAAAAAAAAAAAAAATTAACCAGGTGTGGTGGCACAGGAGGCTGAGGCTGAGGCAGGAAGACTGATTGAGCCAGGGAGGTTGGCTGAGGTTGCAGTCAGCTGTGATGACGCTACTGCACGCCAGCCTGGGTGACAGTGAGACTCTGTCTCAAAACAAAATAAAATAAAAAAGATTTTTCATCAGTTTTACAGACAAATTGGTTCCTTAAACTGTCATGCTAGAAGCTGATCTTATCTAAGGCTGCTTTTGTGTAACAATTGTAGAGTTGAAGAGTTGAATAGCTCCAACAGAGATTCTCTAGCCTACAAAGTTGAAAATATTTACTATGTGGTCCTGTACAGAAAAAGCATGCCAACCCTGTTGGTCCACAAACCACACTTTTAGTAGCAAGAACTTGAATTACTTGAGAAGCAGTACTGTACTGGCTGTGAGCTTGGTTCAAAACCCCACCTTGCCATTTACTGGGTAAATGTGTTGATCTGAGAATTAAATGTGCAAATGTCTGGCACTTTGAAAATACTGAACAGTTGATAGCTGTTATCATCATGTTGGAAACTACGTGGAAAGTAAGTATATTATCTTCTTCCTCAAAGGGTTTTTTTTCCAGAATATGTAAGCTTTGGAAAAGGGAAACAAGTGTAGGCTTTCCAATAAACGAGAGGCAACTTTTAATACCTGGGAACATAACAATATTACATAATAAAGTGATAAACTTTCAAGCGTGTAAGCGTAAGCCTAACAAACCTCACACTGAAATCCAGAATTTGCTATCACAGAAGCATCCAGCTTCTTCCAATAACAATGAATGAAAATAACCTTCAGGAAATGCTAAAACCCAAAAGCCCTATGAAAAAAAGCAGCAATCATCTTTAACACGAGGTTTTGGGCCTAGTTGGCCCCTTCCGGTTCTGCCCGTCTCCAGCTACACCCATAAGATGATATAAACAGAACCTCTCGAGCTTCCACCTCGACTGTCACCGCGGCAGTCGGGACTGCCGGCCGGTTACCTCGCAATTGAACTCCATCTCGGCGTCCATAGTGACGATCCGCACGGTGAACGTCTTGGGTTGCTTCCTCTTGAGAGAGCTGAAGCTCATGCGGGAAGCGATGGCCCCGGCCATGGCGCGGGGCTCAAGCCCGGGACCCTCGCGTCCCAAGGCCTGCACTCTGAGCCTTTTAGCCCCCCTGGAGTTGCTGCACAGGCCTCAGGGCCACCATGGTGGCCGGCTGGCCGGCCCGGGAACGGTCTGGGCTGCGTGGGTCCCCAGCGGCCAGCATGGGCCGCGAGGACCCTGCCCGGGCGGAAAGGGGAGTTGGGGGGCGGGCCCAGACGGCGGCAGGGAGGGCAAGGGAGCTGAGATCGTCCGTGCAGGCGCGACCTGGCACTCCGGGATTGGGGCCGAAGATGCCGGGAACGCCTCGGGACTGGAACCCTAGACCGCAGCGGCCCAGACTCCGCGCTCCTCTTAGTGGCTGACTGGGGTTGCGGGGCCGCGCGGCAGTCCGGCGCGTACGCGCGCGCGTGGCTGTCACTGTCGTCACTCCGCGCGCCCGCGGGAAGCGTACCCTCCCCACCGCCCGGGGCTTGCTCCCGGCCCCGCCCTCAGGTCTCCGAGACCACTATGCGCAGCGCAGATAAACTGGAGGCTGCCGCCTGGACGCTGCGATTGGCTGAGAAGGCAAAGGTAGGCAGGATTTCCCCGCTCCGTCCCGCCTCCGTCGAGGTGACTCTACCAATGGAAAGTTTCAGTCTAACTGCAAAAGCAGGCCTGGCTAGGCGTTGAGTGGCTACAGTGGCAGTCACTCGGAACGTTTTTGTGCCTACTCTAGCAAGACTGGTTGAGGCAGCGGACCTCCGCGCGCCTTTCCTGGGAAACCGCGTAGGGGCTGGATCCGGGCCCGGGAATTGGGTCCTTCCTTGGCTCAGGGAGGGACTCTCTTTCGGTTCAAGTAGGCTTCGATTGTGGCGCTCCAGGGGATCGCGTTTCGGACACCCGTATTCTTGTTCGGCAGTTAATCAACATATACCGATCTCTACGCTTCTCAAACTTTCAAGACACTTGTGGAGGCCTGTTAGGTTGCTGGCACTTTTCCGCCAGATCCCTCTGCTTCCCTTTAGAATGATGATGATTATTATTATTTTGAGACGGAGTTTCGCTCTTGTCGTCCAGGCTGGAGTGCAGTGGCGCGATCTTGGCTCTTCGCAACCGTCTCCCAGGTTCAAGCGATTCTCCTGCCTCAGCCTCCCAAGTAGCTGGGATTAGATGGCATGCGCCACCACGCCCGGGTAATTTTGTATTTTTAGAAGAGACGGTGTTTCTCCATGTTGGTCAGGCTGGTCTCGAACTCTGGACCTCAGGTGATCGGCCCACCTCGGCTTCCCAGAGTGCTGGGATTATAGGCGTGAGCCACTATGCCAGGCCTGGAATTATTATCATTAATGGTTGTACCTACCTTGTGAGGTTGTTGAATTTCAGCACATTCAATAAACATAAGGCTTTAGAACCGAGCCTGGCATCCTATGAAACGGCAGTATTTGGGTGGAAAATGAAAGCATTCTTCATTTCATACTCTGATGCCCATTTTTGAACCATATTCATGTATTATTTATTTAGTGTCATCAAGGGTTATAACAGGAGAATTACACCTTTCTGTGCTTAGATAGCTAACAAATTCTATTTTAAAATAGCTCTTAGTAGTCAAATAGAGACAATTTACTGTGTTTTTTTGTTTTTTTTTGAGACAGTTTCACTCTTATTTCCTTGGCTGGAGTGCAATGGTGCGGTCTCAACTCACTGCAACCTCCACCTCCTGGGTTCAAGTGATTCTCCTGCCTCAGCCTCCCAAGTAGCTGGGATTACAGGCACCCGCCACCGCACCCAGCTAATTTTTGTATTTTTGGTGGAGACAAGGTTTCATCACGTTGGTCAGGCTGGCCTCAAACTCCTGACCTCAGGTGATCTGCACGCCATGGCCTCCCAAAGTGCTGGGGTTACAGGTGTGAGCCACTGTGCCTGGTCTACTGTATTTTAACTGAGCAATAAGCACTTCATAAATGTTAGCTGGCGTTAGGGTCACCCCTACGCCCCCTCCAATGCACAGGTGAAGATACTGAGAGATACGATAGAGCCACTCACTGGCTATAACAGAGAGTGAAAGGCAATCTTAGGACTCAAACCAAGGTCTGTCCCACCCAAAGCCTGCTGGTTAGCACTGTGGTGCCCTGCTTCCAAATTCTGCCTACTAAAGCCTCAGGAAATATGAATTAGAGTTCTAGAGCACTCAGCAGACATTGTTACTGTAACGGAATTATTAATGGTATAAATCTACCTTTTCTGCACAGACCCCTGCAGTGCCAGGAAGCACTGGCCAGGTCTCGAATGGTTTGATGGCACACCCAGTGAGGCTGCTGTGAGAACTTTACGTCCTGCCTTCTGCTAGCAAATTCTCCCCACCAAAACTGATTGTTTAGGGCAGAATGGGCTTGGCATGGGAGTGTCTTCATTATTGTTGCTTCAGTTCCTCCCTGCAGGTGGGAGAGCTGTGTTGGGTTTTTCTGGGATCCCCACAAGGACAACAAATCAGGCCATTAACCCAGGGCCAAGGCAGCTAACAGAAAATAAGTGATACTGGGAACGCAATGAGGAGTAGCAAATGGAGGTGGATCAGTTAGCAGGGACTAAAAAGTGACACTCATGATTGGTAATAATTCATTAGTATGGGCTTACCAGGTGCTAGGCACTTGACTAATTTGGCCCAAAATGCCAAATTTAATGTTCCTGGGAGGACGTCCAGCTAGGTATGTGGGTTTGACTCTCAGAACGGAGGTCAGGAAGGGCCAAGAATAAAAACAGATGTGATGGAATATTATGCTGCTATTAAACGTGCCATTTACAGGCCAGGCAGTGGCTTACACCTGTAATCACAGTGCTTTGGGAGACCATGGCAAGTGGAGTCTCACTCTGTCGCCCAGGCTGGAGTGCTGTGGCTCAATCTGGGCGCGCTGCAACCTCCACTTCCCAGGTTCAAGTGCTTCTCCTGACTCAGCTTCCTGAGTAGCTGGTATTATGGGTGTGTGTCACCATGCCTGGGTAATTTTTGTATTTTTAGTAGAGACGGGGTTTCACCATGTTGTCCAGGCTGATCTCAAACTCCTGACCTCAGGTGATCCGCCCACTTCAGCCTCCCAAAGTGCTGGGATCACAGGAGTGAGCACCACGCCTGGCCAACCTCCCTAATTCGAATGTCATATTTTACAAGAAGGATGCCTACTGTAAATTTCATATGATTCAAAACTTTGTGTTCCAAGAACACGAGGAGATGAAATGCACTCACATAGCTCATAAATCTGCACAACCATCTGACCACATTTTTGCTTTTGATCCTGCTTTGTATCTTTGCAGCATTATCTGTACCCGCAGGCAGTCTTCTAAATTAACAGCACCACCTGTCATGAAGGTGGTTCGGTCTTCTTCATGGTGTCTCATCATGTCCAATATCCACTCCAAAGGTATTGATTTGAGGACGTGCTTTTCAGCACTAGCCTCTCTCCTTCAGGAATGCTTGAATGATGTTGTTATAGCCTTTTTAAGTGGTTTATAATAACAGTGCCTGGCCAAATAGCAGCACAAAAAGCAATTGCTAGTGTCCCAAGCACGTCAACAACCGTGTGATTTGCTCAGTAATGACAGGATGTGGGCATTTGCTTTCTTGCTAAAGTGGCGCCACCTTGTGGCAATAGCATAAACAGTTTATAATCCACTCCAGCTTTGAAATTTTTCCATACTTAAAGAGTTAATTTTTTCCCCTAGCATTTGTATTATGTATAATCTATATGCACAGCGGCACTTTGTTAAATTTTTTTTGAGATGGAGTCTCCCTCTGTTGCCCAGGCTGGAGTGCAGTGGCACGATCTCAGCTCACTGCAACCTCTACCTCCCAGGTTCAAGTGATTCTCCTGCCTCAGCCTCCTGAGTAGCTGGGATAATAGGTGTGAGCCACCACACCTGGCTAATTCTTGTATTTTTAGTAGAGACAGGGTTTCACCTGTTGGCCAGGCTGGTCTCAAACTCCTGACCTCATGATCCGCCCTCTTCAGCCTACCAAAGATTATAGGCATTAGCCACTGTGCCTGGCTTGTTAATGTTTTTATGTGGCACTGTGTCAAAGACCTAACATTCATATCTGCATATGATGCATAGCCCAGAAAGGCTGGAACTTGGCTCTGTGGCTTTTGCCCCAGGTGAGACATAAAAGCTTCCTTGCTGGGCATGATAGCTCACTCCTGTAATCTCAGCACTTTGGGAGGCCGAAGCAGGCGGATCACCTAAGGACAGGCGTACAAGGCCAGCCTGGCTAACATGGTGAAACCCCGTTTCTACTAAAATCCCAAAAAATTAGCCAGGTGTGGTGGCATGCGCCTGTAATCCCAGCTACTCGGGAGGCTGAGGCAGGAGAATTGCTTGAACACAGGAGGTGGAGGTTGCAGTGAGCTGATATTGCGCCATTGCACTCCAGCGTGGGCAACAAGAGCGAAACTTCATCTCTAGAAAAAAAAAGCTTTCTTTTCCCTTTCCCTCCTGTTTGGGGTCCCATAGGAGCTGAAGAATACAGTTCTCAGAGAGCAGTTGGGTCTGAGCATAAAAGCCCATCAATAAGGAGCAGGTTACACTGCCACAGCTGGGTAATTTGTCTCTTTGCTCGTCTGTAGCCCATTTGGTGATGATCTATTTGTCCCTGGGAATGGATGATGGCAGGTTTGTCGATATTTTACACTTATGAACCTGCCTGTTCCTCTCCGCCTGGCTCTGCCCATCTGTCTTTGTCTCTGGATCCTCTCATTTCATTTTGCAGATTGAACAACAGACCTTGGCAAAGAGTTATAAAGGTAGATTCTGTGAGGGCAGCTTTGGGAAGGAAGGCAGGCAGGAGAGGAGGGGTCAGCTCCCTGCAGGAGGGGCGGGTAGGAGACACGTTCAGGAGAAAGATGTCACAGACATAGTGGTGGGAAGAAAGGAACTTCAGAGAGAGAGAGAGAGAGATCCTAGGACACAGGACAGTGGGAGGCCTTGTTGTAGAAGACAGCCAGAAGAACTGAGTCCAACCCTAATAAAGTTGGGCCTAGTAAAAAGCTAATTGTGCTAGTCAGCCTCCAGGATGGCTCACGAGACTCGCATGTTGATATTTATACCCATTGGTTAGACATGCAGCCCTGCTCAGGTGTTGATATTTACATTCTGAGCATGGATGGAGCGTGCCTGCAGTCCTAGCTACTCAGGAGGCTGAGTCAGAAGGGCTGCTTGAGCCCAGGAGTTGGAGACTTCAGTGAGCTATGATTGTGCCACTGCACTCCAGCCTGGGCAACAGAACAAGACCCTGACTCCTGCTGAGGAGGGCTGCATGTCCAACCAATGGGATGTACAAAATCGACAGAGTGTGACTTCCAAGGCCAAATCACTAAAGTCCTTGAAGGTTTCACCTTAGTCTTTTTGGGATCACTCACTTTGGGGGCAGCCAGCAGCCATATGGTGAGGACACTCAAGCAGCCCTCTGGAGAAGCCCGTGTGGCAAGGAACTGAGGTCTCCTGCCAGCCACCAGCACTAATTTGCCAGGTATGTGAATGGCTAACCTTAGAAGGGGATTCTCCAGCCTTGGTCAAGTCTTCAGATGACCATAACTCAAGCCAGTATCTTGATTACAGCCTTATGAGACCCCCTGAGCCAGAAACACCCCAGCTAATCACCCACTCCAGAATTCCTGACCCTCAGCAACTATGTGAGAACATAAATGCTGACTGTTTCAAGCTGCTAAGATTTGGGGTAATTTATTCCACACGAATTGGAATTTGTCTAAATCCTATTTGTGGAATTTTTTTTCAAGATGGAGTCTTGCTCTGTCTCCTAGGCTGGAGTGCAGTGGTGGGATCTCGGCTCGCTGCAACCTCTGCCTTCCCGGTTCAAGCGATTTTCCTGCCTCAGCCTCCCAAGTAGCTGGGATTACAGATACCCACCACCACACCCGGCTAATTTTTGTATTTTTAGTAGAGTTGGTGTTTCACCATGTTGGCCAGGATGGTCTCGAACTCCTGACCTCAGGTGATCTGCCCACCTCAGCCTCCCAAAGTGCTGGGATTACAGGCATGAGCCACCACACCAGGCCAATATTTTTTTTTTTTTTTGAGACAAGGTCTCACTCTGTCACCCAGGCTGGAGTACAGTGGCATGATCATGGCTCACTGAAGCCTTGCCTTCTTGGGCTTAGGCAATCCTCTGTCCTCAGCTTCCTGAGTAGCTGGGACTATATTTTAAATATTTTTAACTTATTTTTGTAGAGATGGGGTCTCTCTATGTTACCAAGGCTGGTCTTGAACTCAAGTGATCCTCCTGCCTCAGCTTCCCAAAGTGTTGGGATTATGGGTGTGAGCTACTGTGCCCAGCCACTTTTTATTGGTGGATTTTTTTTTTTTTTTTTTTTGAGACGGTCTGGCTCTGTCACCCAAGCTAGAGTGCAGTAGCGCAATGTTGTCTTACTGCAACCTCTGCCTCCTGGGCTCTAGCCATCCTCCCACCTCAGCCTCCTGAATAACTGGGACTATAGGCACACACTACCATGCTCAGTTCATTTTCTAATTTTTAGTAGAGATGGGCGCCTCACTATGTAGCCCAGGTTGGTCTTGAAATCCTGGCCTCAAGTAAATCCTCCTACCTGGGCCTCCCAGTGTGCTGGGATTGCAGATGTGTCCCACCAAGATTGGACCCCATCCTTGTTTGTTTCCTTCCCTTCTTTCCCTACTTCCCTCCTTCCTCCCTCCCTCCCTCCCTTCCTTCCTTTCCTTGCTCTGTCACCCAGGCTGCAGTGCAGTGGCGTGATCTCGGCTCACTGCAACTCTGCCTCCCAGGTTCAAGCAATTCTCCTGCCTTAGCCTCCAGAGTGGCTGGAACCACAGGCACCTGCCACCACACCTGGCTAATTTTTGTATTTTTGGTAGACATGAGTTTCACCATATTGGCCAGGCTGGTAGACATGAGTTTTACCATATTGGCCAGGATCACTCCTGACCTCAGGTGATCCACCCACCTCAGCCTCCCAAAGTGCTGAGATTACAGGCGTGAGCTACTGCGCCCAGCCCCCTGCTCCCTTTCAAGCAGAGTAAATAGATTTAGTTAAGTAAGGAAAAGATTATGGGACAGAGTGGGTACATGGCCTGGGGAGAGAACATGTACCCACTGGGGTCGCCCATTGGGGTGACCAAACCTTCTGGTTTCTGTAGGACTGAGGGGTTTTCTGGGATGGAGGACTTTCAGTGCCAAAACTGAGAAAGTCCAGGATAAACTGGGATATGTAGTCGCCCTAGCTGGGGTGGGAATAGGGGCCTTGAGTTTGCCCTTCTAGTCAGCTGCTGCACTGCAGTTCATATGGGATGGGGAGGGAGGCCCGTCTCCCATCTCTCCCAGTCAAGGGTGGAAGCATGCTCCCAGCAAACACCTTTTTTCACACTCCTGCCCTGTTTGGATGGAGAGAGATGGAAACCCCTTCCTGGAAATGCTAAGACCCACAGGAGAAGACTGTAGGCCAGTTCTTCCCCATTCTCCTCATCTCAGAGGGAGGGTGAGGCAGTCAGGAACACTGAGGATTTGGTGAGAGCCTCTCACCCTAAACCAGCAAGGCCAGCTCCTCCCTGTCCATGGGTCTGGTTTCCTGTGGCCTGATTGCCAAATGCCCTCTACCACATGGCCAATGTGCTGCTATTCGGCCTCTGTTGACACAACTCAATGACATGTCATCAGGGCAGCCCATTCCATGGTTGGAAAATTATTCCAGCTAGGCACAGTTGTTCAGCCTATAATCCAGCACTTTGGGAGGCTGAGGCGGGTGGATCATTTGAGGTCAGGAGTTCAAGACCAGCCTGGCCAATATGGCGAAAATACAAAATTACAAAATACAAAATCTCTACTAAAAATACAAAAATTAGCTGAGCATGGTAACACAAGCCTGTAATCCCAGCTACTCAGGAGGCTGAGGTAGGAGAATCCCTTGAGCTAGGAGGTGGAGGTTGCGGTGAGCTGAGATCACGCCAATGCATTCCAGCATGGGTGACAGAATGAGAACTTATCTCAAAAAAAAAGAAAATTATTCCTTGTACTGAATGAGAGGCTGCCACCACACAATCTCTACCCTTTCATTATATTCAACTGTGCTTTCTTCCAGGAAGAGCCCTCACTGCCCCCACCTTTTATTTTTCCTTTTTTTTTTTTTCTTTTTTGAGAGAGAGTCTTGCTGTTGCCCAGGCTGGAGTGCAATGGCACAATCTCCACTCACTGCAACCTCTGCCTCCTGGGTTCACACAGTTCTCAAACCTCGGCCTTTCAAGTAGCTGGGACTACAGATGTGTGCCACCATGCCTGGCTAATTTTTTGTATTCTTAGTAGAGACGGAGTTTTGCCATGTTGGCCACACTGGTCTGAAACTCTTGGCCTCAAGTGATCC